CACATCTATAATTGCTAAGCGATATGGAGCAATTATGACAGACTTAATTAATGAAGACCAAACTGGCTTTATCTCAGGACGTAGAACTCAAGATAGTATAAGAAGGACCCTCCAGATAGTTAATTCAATACAAACAAAAAAGGGCAGTGCGGCCCTAGTAAGCCTGGATGCAGAGAAGGCTTTCGACAGTGTAGATTGGAACTTCCTATATGCCGTGCTTGAAAGGTTTGGTTTTAATGACGGTGCTGTGATTATGATCTCGAATTAGAATCAATGGCAGCTTAACGGAGCAAATCTCTCTCGAGAGGGGTACCCGTCAGGGTTGTTGCCTCTCACCTCTTCTCTTTACTCTATATATTGAACCCCTGGCACAGGCCATCCGACAAAGTGAGGAGGTGAGAGGGATAAGTATTAAAGGGGAAGACCACATCATCAGCTTATTTGCAGATGATATCATACTCTACCTAGAAAATCCAAACCAAACTTTAATTCCGATGTTTAATGTAATTAATATCTTTGCTGAACATTCGGGGTACAAAATTAATGTGACCAAAACTCAGATACTGGCTTTCAACTATTTGCCATCCGAAGAGGTTAAAAATAAGTTTAAACTGAACTGGACTGCAAAACAAATGAAATACTTGGGTGTAACTGTGACTAAACAATTGAGTGACCTTTTTAAAACAAATTATGATAGACTGATCACTCAAATTAAACACGATCTAAACCGATGGTCAACTCTTACACTAGACTTTAGTGCAAGAATCACAACAATAAAAATTAGTGTCCTCCCACGGTTATTGTACCTTTTCCAATCTCTGCCAGTTAAGATCCCAGTGGAAAAATTCAAGGACTGGGATAGGCTCATCTCTAGATTTGTATGGAATGGTAAAAGGCCCAGAATAAAATACACAACATTACAACTATCTAGGAAGCAAGGTGGTGTGGGACTCCCTAATCTAAAAGATTGCTACCATGCGGCCCAAACCAGACCGGCGATAAAGTGGTGTGATCAGAACTTTAATGCTAAATGGAAAGATATTGAAATAAAAGTACAGGATGTCCCAGTCCAGACATTTCTTGGAAATGAGCAACTTAAGAAAACCTTACAGCATTTCCTTGATCCTATAACATCCCACACTCTAGAGATATGGTTTGGCCTAGTTAAACAAAGTAAGTTGGAAAGGGAGGTTAAGATGTTAAACTGGGCTGCCTATGTTGCTGATGTTATACCAAGTGCTCACGACTCAGGATTCAGGAAGTGGGAACAAAAAGGAATAACAGCGATTTGTACAGTAATGAAAGATGGCCATTTGATGAGTTTCCAAGATTTAAAAGATCGGTATAGTCTAGAGAAAACCGATTTTTACCGGTACCTGCAACTCAGAGACTACTTTTCAAAGGAAGTATGAAGTTCGCGTAAGTCTTATGGCATCCTGAATTGTATAATTAAATCATACAGGGGCCTCCAATTCAAGGAAATTTCTGTACTATATAAAAATCTAAGAGAGAACACAGCAACATCAACTGAATACATAAAAAAGAAATGGGAGCAGGAAATAAAAACTGATATCTCAACTGAGGAATGGTTAGATATGTGTGACACCCAGAACACAACCACTAACTCAAGATGCTGGAGAGAATTTGGGTGGAAACATCTTACTCGATTCTTTATTACACCAAAAATCAAAAGTAAACAGACTCAAGACAGTTTGCCATGCTGGAGAAGATGTGGTAACATGGAAGCACACCATGCGCACGTGTTTTGGGAGTGCCTGAAACTGCATCATTTTTGGAAGAACGTGACTCTTGTAATAGGCAATATCTTGGGCTATCAACTACCACACAATTTTAAAACTGTATATCTTGGGAATATTAGAGAGTATGTTCTGTACGACGACTTGTATTTGACAAAAATCCTATTGATAGCTGCAAAGAAAGCTATAACAAGAAACTGGTACAAACTGGATCCGCCTTCTTCAAAAGACTGGTTAAATATTGTTGGAGAAATCTGTGCAATGGAAAAAATGACTTACATTCTCAGATTAAAGGAAGATATTTTCGTTGCTAAGTGGGAGAAGTGGACATTATATGGCACCAAGGAAAATTAATGAACGAACAAAACATTTAAGGTCTATAACTCTGTATATCTATTGATGCATGCCCGTATAAAAGTACGTATATAAGCTGGAGTATGTATGCTGCGGAGTAAAGGCAGGCATACGGTAGTTGATTAGAATTGGCACCCACAGCTTTTGTTCGCTTTAGTTCTGTTTGTTTTGACTGTGTGCTTGCATGGTTATTTCTCCTGTAATGCAATACATGTCTATGTTTAAACTGTGACAAAACTGTCAATAAAAATTACAGTGTCAAAAAAAAACAAACAAAAAAAACAACCCTGTCCTGTCTGGCAGCTTTGCAGTCAGAATTGTGATCTGGATGCATAGTGGTACATTTTTTATCTCTGTATTCTTTTTGTGTTACTTCAGATATTACAGTA